CTCATTCTTTACTACCACTTTTCATTTTTGCTGCAGTGTTTTAAAAACCAAGACTTGACATTATTTTTGTACGTTACCTTTAATTATTACTTAAGAAACGCAAAGAACACAACTTGAAGTTATAAAAGAAAGTATACCTCCCTCACAACTCATTCTCATACAGTGAGAAGGTAGGTGGCACACACAATGCACCATCATACATGCCTTCATATCCAAACACGCACACAAAATAGTTATGTTTATGTAAAGTATGCTTGTTTCTCTGAAATGGAAGGACAAACCTAATGTTAACCTGACCAACATTTTTGAAAGTTAACTATATAGCAATAGCAGTGTATAATTTCCCTAATAAATTTGACTTAAAAAGCCAAATTTCCTTTTCATAAATAGTAGACATATCTTAAATTATACAGAACCATTAAATTATCCACACCCTAGTTACATATTTTTTAAAAAAAATATTGTTAAAGTGATTTAAGATATTGCTTTATCTATAAGGGAATATCTAGCTGCCTGAATCCCAATTACCTTAAAATGGTTCTAAAAATAAATTCACACTGGAATTTCAGAGATTTCTTGAAATATCAAATTTAACGTTACAACTTTTTTCTATTTGATCATACCAATCTTGATCAAGTTTAAACAACGATTATTTATCAATCCGTCAAAACCAAGCGAAGTTATCTCTTCCAACAAACAGTTGTCATCAGTATACCACTGATAGTTTAGTCTTATTTTGAGCCTACTGTTTAAATAAGCGTTCAGTCTGTAATACCAACATATTCACCACCTCTCCAGTTGAGAAAGATAAGATATGCGTGCTAAATTAGGTAAACATCACAACGGTTGTTCAAAATAAGACATTGGAATTACAAGCTTAGACAAACTTGGCAAACAATTTTAACAACCCAACAGTTCTCTGATGTTAACCTCTTAATCTGATTTATTCCAGCCTCTGGGCTCTCCTGAAAGTTAGTTTTACACATACATTTTCACTTGAAAACACTGAATATTGTACTTCCCCAGCAAGAAAGAGGCCAACATTCAACTACCATAGTATCTACCCATACACCTTCGGAAAGAACAACCACCACATGCAAATGGGCCTCACAAGAGTTAAGAAAAAGACAACTCTACCCAAATCCTGTTCTAGGAAGCATTCTGCACTTCACTTTATTGGAACACGATTTGCCTCTAAGCAGACCGCAGCGTGCAACCAGGAAAAATGTTTAAGATTTGAGATAGCTGAACTTCCCGCTAATCACAAACTTCTACTGATAAGTTCATTGAATTCCTCAGCATCTCTGCAAATCATGTTTTTTAGTCTTTGTTCATGAAGCAGTGCACAGAGACAAGCCTCTGAGAAGCTGGGAAGGTACCTTGCCTGCCACGGAGAACCGAGAGCAGGTTCCAAGGGATACACGAGGCCTGCTGCATAGGGGTAAAGGGGATTTCGTGCCCAAAATGCAATCGGATTTCAGCGGTGCCGGGAGGAATACCTGCTGTATTAACCCTCCGACCCTCCCGGCTGTTTAGGTAACACCTGTAAAGAGGAAACTTCTTAAGGAAGCAAGAGACCACCCCCGAAGCGAAACACCCGGGAGCTCCTTCCCCCCCACGCCAGCCCGGCCCTCGCAAAGAGAGACCCCCAGCGAAACACCCGGGAGCTCCTTCCCCCCCCACGCCAGCCCAGCCCAGGGCCTCCAGCTGCTCAGCAGGCAG